ATTTCAGGAACCTTAAGCTGCTTAGTTCAGCAGGTCAGCATGTCTGCTAGTCTCATTCTGACTTTGTGTGCTTAGGTTTTTGTAAGACTTCTCTTGCTTAGTTCCTTGTGATTAAGACTGGATATGTATTTCTGTGCCAGAAACTAGGCCCTCTTCTCTTTCACCCCTGTGAAGTCCTAATCTGGGTACAGTACCCCAGGGTAGGAATGTGCTTTCTTTTAGCCAGGCCTCTTGGGAACTTAAGCTTTGCCTAGACCCATGCCTGTCATTGGGACTTTGCTGAACATTGATGGTGATGTTGATGCTTACTAATTGCTTTTTACCATATTTTCCCTATTGTCATCTTCTGTCTGCTTTCTCCTTGCTCAGTATCCTGGTGCTCACTGCTCACTTACGTGGACCTCTGCCTATTGCTGCCTGCTCTCCTTTTCTAATTAGGCACTCTTGCCTACTTCGATTTCCTTCTAGATCTTGCTTCTGGGTTTACACTCCAAGCACCTGATATTCCCTCCCTTTAATGTGGAGGGGCCTGATGTGTATCATACTGCCTCCTTTCAGAAGCTTAATTATGACAATCAGTTGTTTTCTTTCTCTAGGACCTTTATAAAAAAAATCTGTCAGCTTTTATTTCATTTTATTTCAAGATTTTTATTTATTTGAGAGAGAGATGAGCAGGAGGAGGTGCAGAGGGAGAGGGAGAAGCAGACTCCCCGCTGAGCCAAGAGCCTGACAACATGGGGCTTGATCCCAGGACCCTGAGATCATGACCCGAGCCAAAGGCAGATTCTTAACCAACTGAGCCACCCAGGCACCCCAAAAAAATCTGTCAGCTTTTAGCTGTTTTATTTATTTCCTGATATAACAAACTCACCCCTTGACATTTTTCATTGGACCAATTTTTTAGCTTTCTTTAGAACATCTCACATAGCCCCTTTTCAGCCATTTGTTACTTTCACAGGAGAGTGGCCTTGAATCCTAAAATCCTTACATTGGAAGAGACTTCCAAAGGTATCCAGTTCAACTTTCCATGTAATGGGTAGCTTATCAACTTCCAAAATAACCCATCAGTGACATTTTACAGAAGCTCTCTAATGGTTTCTTGGGCCCAAACTATCCGTTCATTCATTCATTCATTTACTCATTCATTCAGTCAGCCAACACAGTTACTAAAACATCTATTGTTAGCCAAGCACTGGAAGTAAGTGTGTGTGTGTGTGTGTGTGTGTGTATGTATGTATGTGTGCATCACCATTCCTGTCCTTCGGGAAATGCTACTGTAGTGGGGTATAGAGAAATAAGCAATCGCGATCACTAACTAGAGATATACCATGGGTAGGAGAATGGGTCATTTCTTCTGCATGACTGAAGGTTTGGTTTGTGAAGGGCCTCTTTCTGCTGCCTCAATTAATACCATCTTTCTGATCCACCAGTTTTTCAACTACCTAAAAAAGAAAGGCGGGGAATGCCTCTGCTTCTACCTTCTGCCTCTGTCTATCCTTGACTTGCCCTTGAAATCATCTTTCTAAATGCAAATCTTGGTGTGTTACTCCTCTGTTAATAGGCTTCACATTGTCTCCCCTTCAAACTGACATCTAACTCTTTGGCACAACTTAGAAAACCTCAGCCTTTCTGGTTCATGCCTACCTCTGGTCTCATCTACACCATTTTCACCAGATTCTCAGTGCCCCAGAACTTCGCGCAGTTTCCTGGCTATATCGTGCTTACTTACCTTTCTGTCATATATGCTGTTCCTGCTACCTGGATCGACTGCCAGTCTTGTCTTCTTGGTGAACTCTGGGGCACTGAGAGCTGAGAGAAAATGGTGTACAAGGAGGAATAAATCATTTCTTCACTCATTTGTTCATCCAACAAATATTTCCTGGCTGCCCATTCTGGCACCGGCTCTGGTCAGGCTGAAAACAGAGATCAATTCCTGGTCTAGAGTAGCTTGTAACCACCAGCAGTTTATTTTTCAGTTTAGGTCTGTCTTGGGCTCTGAGAATGCTTGCTTACAAGACTCCTACCACTGTTTTGACAGGAGCTCCCTGCAAACCCAGGACCTTGCACGCTGGTTTATCCACTACTAGATACCTGCCTGCAACTATCACTGAATAACTTGTCAAACAGGGAGAAAGGCCCTTTGGGGGGTTTGGGGCAATTCTTCACCTTCTTGCACCCTGCAGCCTTTGCTGCCAAGATAAGCTTCTGTGAGTCTAAAAAATTCAAATCAAGACAAAGAAATTGCATAGAATGAAAATGCTTCTTCCCTGCTCTTGTAAATCAGAACAGTTGTAAAATGAAGAAAATTAGTACTTTAACATTCCTGTCTCCTCAAGCAGTCGTTTTAAGTGAGTCCTCTACAAACTCAAGCAGTTGGTAAGGACAGTTAGTGGCCATTTATCATTTTAAGTTGATTTGTTTCAAATAAATAGCAAATGGGGTATTTTAGTCCTAAATTATGCATTAGTCAACTTCCTAACCGAGCCCTTTTTTACATATCAATGAGCAGTGAAAGAGACACAGACAAATCTGTCATGATCCTTGTGAGCCTTCCCTGTCTTTCTGTCCTTTAATCATGATTCTTAAACTTATGATCAAAACTCAGCACTTTTCATTCTGACTAGTTGTAGATCTCTGCCTAAAATAGATGGCCATTTCTGAGGTGGTATGCATTTTTGTTTTGTTTTTCTGGATTATTGAGACATAATTTACATACAGTAAAATTCACCCTTTTTAGGTATTTAGAATCTATGAATTTTGACAAAATTCTATAGGTTGTGCCACCACTGAAATCAAGATAATAGAATTTTCTGTCACCCAAAATATTCCTTCATGCTCCTTTGTAGTTAACCCCCTCCCTATATGGCCAACTACTGCTCTTATTTCTGTCTCTATAATAGTTTTGTCATTTCTAGAATTTCATATAAATTTCATATAAATTTGATATAAATGGGATCAAAATGTGTAGTCTTTGAGTTTGCTTATTTCACTTAACATAATGCTTTTTTAAAAAAGATTTTATTTATTTAGAGAGAGAGCGAGCAAGTGTGAGCAAGGGGAGGGGCAGAGACAGAGGGAGAGGGAAAGAGAAAAATCCTAAGCCAACTCCCCACTGAGCATGGAGCCCAACATGGGGCTCGATCCCACGACTCTGAGATCATGACCTGAGCTGAAATCAAGAGTTGGACACTTAACCAACTGAGCCACCCAGGTGCACCTAACATAATGCTTTTGAGTCATCCATGTTGTTGCATTTATCCATAGTTTGCTGCCTTTTATTGCTGAGTAGAATTCCATTATATGAATGTATCAAAATTTGTTTATCCATTCACCATGATGGACATTTGGATAATTTAAATTTTTTATATTATGAATAAAGTTGCTATAAACATTTATATTCAGGTTTTTATGTGGATATATGTCTTTATTTCTCTTAGGTAAATACCAAGGAGTGGGATCCCTGGGTTTTAGAAAGTGTGTTTTTAACTTTATAAGGAAATGTCAAATGTACTGTTGCTGATTCCTGTCAGCAATGTAAGGTTCCAGTTGCTCCATATCCTTGACACCATCGTTATTGTATATCTATTTCAATTTTAGACATCCTAGTAGATAGCTAGTGATATCTTTTTGTAATTCCACATTTTTCCTAATGACTAATGATTTTGAGCAAGTGTTTATTAATTGTTTTTAATTGGGCAAGTTTTTTTTAACACAGTTTTAAGGGTTCTTTATATATTCTGGTTATCAGCCCTTTATCACATTTGTTTTCCAAATATTTTTCCCAGTCTATGGCTTGTCTGTTTTTTATTTTCTTACTATCTTTCAAAGAGCAAAAGTTGTAAATTTTGATGAAATTCAAATGATCAATTTTTTTCTTTTAATGGTTTGTGTTTCTTCTGTTCTGTACGTAATTAGTAGATGTAAGATCATGAAGATTTGCTTCAGTTTTTTTCTAGAAGTTTTTTAGCTTTAGGGTTTACATTTTAGTCTATGATCAATTTCAAGTTGCATGTATAGAGTGAGGTTTGGGTTGAGGTTCACTGAAATATAAATATACCTCATTGTTCCATCATTATTTATTGAAAGACTAAGACTGTCCTTTGTCTATTTAATTGAGTTGGCATTTTTGTCAAAAATCAATTGAGTGTATATGGGTGGATCAATTTCTGGACTGTCTACTCTGCTCCATTGATCTATGTGTTTATTCTTTTGCCAATATCACACTGTTTTGAATAGTGGTAGCTTAATAGTCTTGAAATCAGTGGGTTTGAGTCCTCCAACTTTCTTCTTTTTCAAAACTGCTTTGGCTGTCCTAGATTATTTGTTTTTCCATATAACTTTTAGACTCACCTTGTAAATTTCTTCAAAAAGAAGGTTGCTTGGATTTTATTGAGTGTTGAATTGAATACTGAGTTGGAGTTGAATTGAATCTATAGATGAATTTTGGAGAGAATTGCAGTATTGATAATATTGAGTCCTCTGATCCATGAACATGTAACTAACTACTTGTATCTTGATTTCTTTTTTTTTTTTTAAATATTTATTTGACAGAGAGAGACACAGTGAGAGAGGGAATACAAGCAGGGGGAGTGGGAGAGGGAGAAGCAGGCTTCTCGTGGAGCAGGGAGCCTGATGCAGGGCTCGATCCCAGGAGCCTGATGCAGGGCTCGATCCCAGGACCCTGGGATCATGACCTGAGCCGAAGGCAGACGCTTAACGACTGAGCCACCCAGGCGACCCTATAGGTTTTTTCATAGATGTTTTTTATTAGGCTGAGGAAGTTACCTTTCATTTCTAGTTAACTGAGTATTTTTAAAAATCATGAATGGCTGTTGAACAAATGTCATACTTTTTCTGCATCTATATAAAAATTGTATGAATTTTCTTCCTTTGTTCATATTGTCAGTGGCATTGCTTGAGTTATGAATGTTGAACCAACCTTGCTTTTCTAGACTCAATTCCATGTGACCATTATATACTATTCTCTTACATTTTATAGATAAAAATCGTAGTTAGATGCCACAAAGTTGTTGGCAATTCCTTAATCATATGTGTGTTTTATAGGTCACTAGAGCCACCTCCATCTTTATTAAGGGAAGTTCTAACCTTACCTATAATGTAATATAGGTAGAGCGCTTTTCTTCATCTTCATTTGGTCTTTAAGCTATCAAAAGAACAAGGGGATGGGCAACAAATATAGGAAGTATCTTTGTAGTAGGCAGTGAGTACATTTATTTAATTTAACCTTATTTAATGGGAAATTGAGGTCCAACAAATATTTTGTACCACTGAAGTCTTGCAGTAAATGGTTAGTCAGAACTTAAATGCAGGTTTGTTTGGTAAAACCCCTGTCAGCCCACTAGATTATATTGCCTCTCTCTGGTAATGAATGTATGTGTAGGGGGTGTTGCAGGGGGACAGAGACAAGGGAGGGTGGGAGAGAGAGTGAGATTAGGAAAGGGAGAAATGTTCTACCACCCTTTATTGCCATTTGAAAATCTGGGCTCTTAGATATCTTGGTTTTATATCTCTCTTCTGTTATTTACTTGATTTGTGGCACATTTGTCTCCCTGAGACTCTTTTTTTTAAATCTGAAGTGTAGAGGCACCTGAGTGGCTCAGTCGGTTAGGCATCCAACTCTTGATTTCGGCTCAGGTCATGATCTTCGGGTCCTGGGATCAAGCTCTGCATTGGGCTCCGTGATCAGCAGGGGAGTCTGCTGGAGATTCTCTCTCTCTGCTCCTCCCTCCCACTCACACACGTGCTCGCTCGCTCTCTCTCAAATCTTTTTAAAAATCTGAAATATAAACTGTTAGCACAGGTTGTTATGAGGAATACAGATGATATTTGTAAAGTGCCTTGCACATAGAATGTGCTCAATATAGTGGTATCTATTACTATCATTATTATTAATTTCTTACCATGAAATGCATTTTATAACTGGAAGTAATTAATTTGGGTTTGGAAAATGCCAAATGGGAATTAGGATGATTTCTGTAGTTTATTTAGTTCTTTTATCAAAATAGCCTAGAGCAAGTTCCTTTTTATAAAAATGGACTTAATTTCCTGTACTTTTTACCTACCTCCTCCCTAAGTCAAAACAATACCAATTTACTAAATCATTTTGCAGATTTGGAAGGCTTAAAAGATACAGCTGAATGCTTTAGGCTCTGGAAATGAGTATGTGCACACTTCTGTGCTTGTGTAGGTCTTTGTGTGGTCTAGAAGTGATTGTCTCAGCCAGGAGGACTAGAGATGCCATTTTCATTTTACATGGGCAACCAACCATGGATAGCTAGCTCTAGTCCCTTGGCTCATGCAGGTCTGACCATTTCTGAGTCATTGAAACTCACTTCTCTAACTTACACAAGTCACTTCAGACTGTTTGAAGATAATGATTCCTTTTTTCAGTAAGGTTGTTTTGATTATCACAAGTAGGGCCCAAGAGCTGTGTTTTCATCAGTCAAGTCAGGGAGGTAACAATGAGAAAAATGGCTAAGTCTAAGAAAGGGCATCAGGCCATCGTCAAATGACCTTTCAGTGTCTAGGACCTCAGGAGAGCTGTTGACTCCAACTCTGGCTCCAGCTCCAGCAATCCATAGCTTCTGGGAACTGATTCTCATTGTTACTTGATTTCCTAGCAGTACCCTTCCAACTAAAAGTGTGCTGTTTGACAGGTGAAAGTAAAGGACAATCTATTGTATTTTGGGAATTTTTGTATAATATCACACCATTGCTTGGTGGTGGTATAAATCAGAATTGGTAATTATTAGTCTCTTTAAAACAGGTTTATTGAACTGTGATCATTATACAAAATACCGTGCATATTTAATGTACACAATTTGATGGGTTCTGAACATATGCATACACCCTTGAAATCATCACCACAGTCAGGGTAATGTACATATTCATCATCTGTAAAAGGCTCCTCCCACTGCCCTTATGTTTGTTTGGGGTGTGGGGGGTAAGAACTCCTAACTTGAGATTTACCATGCTAACAAATTAGTGACAATACAATATTTTGCATACACTGTTTTCAAAGCACACTGACCACATCTTCTAATTTAATTTTCACCTTATAAATTAAGGTAGGTCTTCTCCTTTATGATGAAAAAAAAAAAAACATACCTTAGCAATATGTTTTCTCAAAGATCACTATTAAATATTGTACCAGTATCCAGGACCCAGTTCTGATTTTTGTTCAGTGTTCTTTGCATAAGACCTCTGGGCCTTGATCCTGATGTGACGCCAAACTTCATTGACCTGGTAAACATTCAAAAACTAAATATCTAATGACCTTTGTCCTTACAATTAGGATCAACAAATGTGATTATATGCCGGGCTTCAAAGAGAGTTCATGAAATAACTAATTAGCGGAGGATAAAGTTTGGGGAGTAACTTCTACCCTTCATACATGTAACTCTTTTTTCTAGATTGGATAGACAGAGTTCCAGTGTCCCAGCAGCAATGTTCAAAGGCTGGTCATTAAACTTTTGAAAGGTGGTTTAATTTAAAATGTTGGGCAGTAAGGTGAGGCCCAGCCTGATAGATTTGCTGGGGCCTCTTGAGTAGCTGCTTTGTGTTAAACACTATTCCAATCATTACAGGGGCATAGAGATTAAAACAAAATTTAAAAAAGTATTATTCCACCCATTAGGACTTCACAAGCTAGCAGACAAGATGGAAGCGTACACAAAGATATTTCCATATTATTCTTCCTCTAGTCCATCTTCCATTCTGCCAGTAGAACAATCTTTTGAAAACACATACCCTTTCCCTGCTTAAAACTTCCTGGTGGTTCCCTGTCTCTCAGAGGACCTTGTCCAAGTTTCTTATCAGACACACAAAGCCTTCTCTGATTTGGCCCAGATTATTCGCCCTCTGTACCCACACCTCCACAGCAAGCCCCAGGCACATACTACACTCCTTGGGATACTCAGAGCAGCTCATGATTTTTCATGCCTCTGAGTGTCTACTCATGCTGGGCGCTCTCGAGAATGCTGTGTTAGTCTGGGTCCTCTGAGAAGCAGAAATTGATTTTATTAAGGGAAACCACCACCTGTGTGAGACCACGAGGAGGGAGACGGGAAGGATGGGAGTGCCATTAGTCCATGATGCAAGTCTGACCCCTAGTGAAGAGAAGAGAGAGTAGCTTAGGCAGAAGATTTCTAGGCTGCTGTGCAGTTGAAGGAAGGTTCAGAAAAACCTTTGGGTAATCCAGGTCAGTGGAGTCTTACCCCTGCTGTCTTCACTCATGGGTCAGGTGCAGCCCATTGGAAGTATAGCTTCAGCACAGACATTAGGATGAATTTCTTTTTTTTTTTTTTTAATTTTTTTTTTTAAAGATTTTATTTATTTATTCATGAGAGACAGAGAGAGAGAGAGAGAGGTAGAAGGAGAAGCAGGCTCCCAGGGAGCAGGGAGCCCGATGTGGGACTCGATCCCAGGACTCTGGGATCATGACCTGAGCCGAAGGCAGACGCTTAACCATCTGAGCCACCCCAGGCGCCCTAGGATGAATTTCTGATGCAGCAGCTCAGTTGTGCTCCCTGTAATTAGAGGCCTTCCTCTTAGCCTCTAGAAATGCCTTTCTTCCATCTTACTCCTCTCACGTGTCCTTAAAAGGCCAGCTTTAAATGTTTCCTCTTCTAGGGAACTTCTCCTTGAAGGAAATTCTCAGCAGGTCACATGATGGTCCTCACTGCCTATAATGACCGTCCCCTAATTTCTGCCTGGTTGATTCCTAATACACTTATTTGAACCCCTACCACGTATTATGGGACCAAAAAAACTAGTAGGTGCTCAGGAAATAATTGTTGAATGAATGAATTGGTAGGACTTGGACGAACAGATCTAAAGGAGAAGATAAGTTGAGGCAAAGTGAACTGCTTGAGCAAAGCCATATCGGGAGAAGAATGAAGAACTTATTCTGCCTTTTTCTTCTTTGCAAATGTGTCCAAAAACCATCATTTTAGGGAAAGTATATTATGATGCAAAACATTGGGGGAAGGAGTATCTTCCTGGCACTTGAAAATGATTCATATTTGAGAACTTTGTTGAGAACAATGTTTTGAATATTTCCTGAGAGACTTCTTTCCTGAGAGGAAACAGTTGATGGAAATGGAATTTTACTGCTGCCAGGAAAAGTGCGATAAAGATCAAATCTCATACAACTACTACCAGAATAGAAATTTCCATAGAGCAAAGAGATTTCAAATTCCCACCCAATGGCTCATATGTATTTAGTATTCATTGCAGCTGAACTATAATTCTGTAATGGAATTTGACCAGTTTTGACACTCCAGTTTAGTAATGTATGAATTAGTGGAGACTCATTCATCTTGACGTTTGCTGACTGCCAGATGTTGGTCATATTTCTGATGGAAAGAAACAGCTGGCCAGGATCCCAAATCTCAGTACCACTAACGGCCTGCCACCAGCACATACTGCCAGAGGAAAGAGACATGCTGAAGAGAAGGTCCTACAAAATCACTACCAGCAACTAGAGATTTAGCCCCTTATCCCTATGTAGTGATCTACCCTGGTGCCCTGGGTTGGAGCATGTATGAAGCAGGTGCTCCTTTTTGCCCAGGTCTGTGTCTGTCCTATGCATTCTCCCTCATGTCTTCTTTCTCCAGAGTTTCCACTTGAAGGGATGCAGGTTTCTTACCTGCAGTCTGGAGATGAATAATGGCACCTCCATCACGGGCTTGCTGTTAGGATTCAACCAGGTAATTCATGCTAAGGGCTTAGACTGTGCTTAACATAGAGTATTTCTCCAATAAATGGTAGCTAGGTTTTATTATTATGCAGTAGAAGCAGGGGTCTGAGGGCAAAATCTTAATATTTCTCTATGAGTATTATCCAAGTTGGTTTTTCATGCATTTGGTGAGTGCCTGTTCTGTGATAAAGCAGCAAGGCACTCTAGAGTAATTAATCTAACACAGTTGCTGATATCCATCTCTTCTCTCAAGTGAGGACAGTTCATTTTGGCTTACATATAAGCAAAGCCACTTGCTCCTACCCTGTACTCTGACCTGCTGTGGAATACCTCTTCTTTTTCTCATTGACCTGTCTCTCTCCCCTTCAAATTTCTATTGTAATTCTTGAGGTACGGATAACTCC